CCTGGTGAAGGGGAGGGAAGAGGGGGTATATAGAGAATAAGGGTCTAAGGACTTGATCTTTTGTTTTGCTTTTGGGTTGTGATGCGAACTTGATGTATTTGAGGAGCAAGAAGTTCAGTGTTGCTTGAGAGAAGGAAGATGCGTCCAGAGAAAAAGGAACCTTGGGGACCCCAGTGAAGACATTTGGATTTTGTTCCTAAGGGCAATGTTACCTACTATTTATGAGATTCCTAGCCACTAACCATTCAGACTGCAAAGCCATTTGAACTGCAAGGTCGGTGGTTCAATCTCATCAGCTGCTCCTCGGAAATCCTATACAGGGTTGCTATGGGTGGGAATCGACTCTACAGCACTTAACAACAACCATTCAGAAGTGGTCCACCTCTCCTTCCTAGTCTGTCTTGGTCCACGCAACCTTGCTCACTATGGGTGATCCTGTTGCTATTTAAAATATCAATGGGGGGTCCCTGGCAGCTTCTAGTAGGTTTCAGAAGGGAATGAGAATGCGGAGAGGGCGGGTTCGATTCAATGGGGTTCCGGGCTGGGCTATGGAGCAGATAAACTGAAAGAGAAGGGCAACAAGGCCCTGAGTGCCGGGAAAATAGATGATGCGCTACAGTGCTACTCCGAAATCATCAAGTTAGATCCCCAGAACCATGTACTCTGCAGTAATCGGTCCGTGGCCTACGCCAAGAAAGGAGACTACCAGAAGACTTAGGAGGATGGCTGCAAAACTGTGGACTTGAAAACTGGGGCAAGGGATATTCTCAAAAGCAGCCGCCCTGGAATTCTTAAATTGCTTTGAGGAGGCCAAGCCAACCTATGAGGAGGGTTTGAAACATGAAGCCAATAATCTACTGCTCAAGGAGGGTTTACAGAATATGGAGGCCTGTCTCACAGAGAGGAAATTCATGAACCCTTTAACATGCTCAACCTGGACCAGAAACTAGAGGGTGATCCCCAGACAAGGGCACTGCTCAGCGATCCTTCCTACCGGGACCTGATCGAGCAACTCCGAAACAAGCCTTCTGACCTGGGCATGAAACTACAAGATCTGCGGATCAGGACCACGCTCAGTGTCCTCCTTGGAGTCGACCTGGGCAGTATGGATGAAGAGGAAGAAGTTGCAACACCTCCTCCACCTCCTCCTCCCAAAAAGGAAACGAAACCAGAGCCCATGGAAGAAGATCTTCTGGAGAATAAGAAATAGGTCCTGAAAGAAACAGCTGGGGAACGGTGCCTACAAGAAGAAAGACTTTGAAGCGGCCCTGAAGCATATGACAGAGCCAAGGACCTGGACCCCACTAACACGACTTACATTACCAATCAAGCAGCGGTGTACTTAGATTAGAAAAGGGAGACTACGACAAATGCCGGGAGCTCTGTGAGAAGACCATCGAAGTGGGGAGAGAAAACCGAGAAGATTTTCAACAGATTGCCAAAGCTTACGCACGAATTGGCAACAGCGTAGTGGTTACAAATTGGGCTGCGAACCGCAAGGTCAGCAGTTCGAAACTACCAGCTGTTCCATGGGAGAAACATGAGGCTTTCTGCTCCCGTAAAGATTTACAGCCTCAGAAACTCTGTACAGGGTCTCTATGGGTCAGGACTGACTCCACAGCACATAACTTCAAAGAGGAAAAGTACAAAGATGCTATCCATTTCTACAACAAATCTCTGGCAGAACACCTGGATGTGCTCAAGAAATGCCAGAAGGCCGAGAAAATCCTAAAGGAGCAAGAGTGGCTGGCCTACATAAACCCTGACATGCCTCTGGAGGAAAAGTACAAAGGCAACGAGTGTTTCCAGAAAGGGACTACCCCCAGGCCATGAAACATTACACAGATGCCATCAAGCGGAAGCCACGTGATGCCAAACTCTACAGCAATCGAGCTGCTTGTTACAGCAAGCTCCTGGAGTTTCAGTAGGTGCTGAAGGACTGTGAGGAATGTATCCAGCTAGAGCCAACCTAAATAACCTCGAGGTTATATACGGCTGCCCTCGAGGCCATGAAAGGAGTACACGAAAGCCATGGATGTCTACCAGAAGGCCCTAGACCTGGCCTCCAATTGTAAGGAGGCGGCAGATGGTTATCAACGCTGCGTGGTGTCCCAATACAATTGGCACGACAGCCCCGAGGATGTCAAGAGATGGGGCATGGCCGACCCCAAGGTGACCCCACCATGCGGTTCATCCTGGAACAAATGCAGAACAAATGCAGCGAGCACTTAAAGAATCCGGTGATAGATCAGAAAATCCAGAAGCTGATGGATGTGGGTCTGATGTCCATTCGGTGATGACTTGTTCAGCCCCCTTGCCTTCACCCCACGAGGAAAAAAGACCGGGGAACGCAGCAAGCAGCGGAGCAGAAGGGAGAGAATAGGAAGCCAGCACTGGTCCCTGTATATTTATATCCACCGACACGAAGGATAATAGACTCGGCCAGTTGCGGCCTTGGCGCTCCCAGCACGCGCATGGTTCCCTGACTGCTGCCCTCGGTTCTGTGTCCGCACCCCAGCCCTCCATCACGGTCTCAGCTGCTCTCCCATACTTGGTTATTTTTTATTTGGGACAGTTGGGTATGTGTGGGGAGGGGAGGGTGTTCTTCACATCCTCAGGTCCCAACTCTCTTCACATTGTTAACTCCACATTCCCATCAATAAAACAAGCCAGTCGGGCGTGGTTAAAAAAAAAAAAAAAAAAAATCACAACACCACATCAGCCGTCATAGTACAACACACTGTGACAGACTTTGTCTCTCGTATGTTGTCAGGAGGGATCAGTCCTTGGAGAAGGACATCATGCTTAATAAAGTGGAGGGTTAACAAAAAAGAGGAAGACCCCAATGAGATGGATTGACAGAGTGGCACCAACGTAACAATCTAGGACAGGACCGGGCAATGTTGCTTTCTGCTGGGCAGAGGGTCACCATGAGTGGGAACTAACTTGATGGCACCTAACCACCACCACCACAGGACAAAACAGGTTTTAAGCAAGGTTGTGATAATCACATTTCTGTTTCTCACTTTGGATTTTAAGCGTCTCCCTTCAATTCTGTCTCTACCCTGCAACAGTGAGCTTGTATGGAGCACCGTAGAGGTCAAATGCACATGGTTACTCTGAATCCTGGACTCAGGTTTCACTATTCAGATCTATGGAAATTTTAAGAGTAACCATTTGATTTTATAGGAGTTCCAAAGTCGAACCATTCTCTGATTCCTGGGCCTTGTTAAATGAGAAATATGTATAGGATGAAGGAGGCATTTAGTGTTAGTGATGTTTGGGAAAAGCTTTATCCAAGTAGAAACGTGCTCGGGAATGATGAGAAAAATGCTACAACACAAAGCATGCGCGCACATGCGCACACAGAAAACGCTACAACACAAAGCATGCGCGCACATGAGCACACAGAAAGATGCTAGTAATAAAAGAGATGTGTAGATATATTGGAGTCCTGGTGTGGTGCTGTGGGTTAATGCACCAGACTTCAAAGCCATTTAAACTGCAAGGTCAGCGGTTCAAGCTTACCAACTTTTCCTTGGAAACTCTATACAGGGTCGCTATGGGTCGGACTCGACTCGACAGCACTTAACAACAATAGATATATAACTCTGGGATAGAACTGACCAGGGACAAACAAACCTCCTCAATGTTCCTCTCATGTCCCTGAGATTTATCAGGTAGGGATATTGCTTTTAATGCTTTCAACAGCTTCTGAAGAAATTTGATCAAGTGTATAGCTTTGAGGATCAGATAACATGTCAGTGATTTATTGTTGTTGTTAGATACCATCAAGTCCGTTTGAATCTGATGCAAAACAGAACAACACGCTGTCCAGTCCTTCACCAGCCTCACAAGAGTTACTTTTGAGTTCAATGCTACCACACCACTGTGTCAGTCCATCTCCTTGGGGGTCTTCCTTTTTTTCAATGACCCTCCAGCTTACCAAGCATGAGGTCCTTCTTCAAGAACTGGTCTCTCCTAATCACATGTCTGAAGTATGAGAGTCAAAGTCTCATCATCCTGGCTTCTAAGGAGCATTCTGGCTATAATTCTTCCAACACAGATTTGTTTGTTCTTCTGGAAGTCTTGTAATATTCTTAGTATGGTACTTTTATTATTCTTCTCCAACACCATAATTCAAATGCATCATTCTTTAAGGTCTTCCTTATTTATTGTTCAACTTTCACATGCACATGAAGCATTTTTTTTTTTTTTTTCATCATTCCCAAAGACACACAGACTCTTACTTTTAAGAACAGGAATTTATTTCATATCATTGAAACTCCAAAAACGTTTATTACATTTTACCTGAGTGCTCTGGTAGCGTAGTGGTTACGAATCGGGCTGCAAACCTTAAGGTCAGCGGTTCGAAACTACCAGTCGCTCCGCGGGAGAAAGATGAGGCTTTCTACTCCCGTAAAGATTTACACCCTCGGAAACCCTGTACAGGGTCGCTATGGGTCGGAACCGACTCGATGGCACTTAACAACAACAACAATTCTTGGGTTATACATAATTTAAAAAGAGGTAGGGACTGAAAAGAAAAACCTAAAAGGTAAGGTTATCAGTTAATACTAGTTGGTAATTACATACCATTCTAAAACATGTAAATTCGTTTTTGGCATTGCACCCTGCCTCATTCAACGTTGTTTTCATAGGTGTGATACAGTGCAAAAAAACAACGTGGAACATTGTTACCTTCTCTCAAGATTAAATTAATCCCAAATAACTTTATTCTTTGTGGCAGGGAAGGTGTTAAACGCAGGGTGCATTTACAGTGTTGTAAAAGTGTGTGTTTTAAAATAAGACTTTTTTTTTCAAAAACAAAACAAAACTCTTTCAAAGTTTTATGTGCACTGCTGACTGTAGAAATTGTTTGGTTCACAATTTTGAAATCTTCCCCCATCTGGAGCCATCCAGCAGTGTGTTCTGTCAGTTGGGGACAGAAGTTAGGGTGTGTGCTGGGCCCAGACCATGCTCTGTTTGCTTCTGGGTATTCACATCTGTGTCTGTGTGGTGGGCTCCAATGAGCCAAACAGGGTATTCTTGTCAAGGTACTTTTTCCTTTCCTCCTCGTCAAACTGAGCTTCAATCGTGGCTGGGTTGACGTATGTGTAGAATCGAGCCATGATGGCAAATATTACGCAGACAACCAGCAGCAAAGCGGCAAACAGAATGTACTCAGCCCACTTCGAAGGATTGGAGTTGCAGCAAGACAGAAAGACAAAACAGAAAAGCATGGCTTATATTAATGTTTATATCTCAGGTATATTTCCTGCTGTCTCTATGTAGAAGAGTCTTTAAATTGTTAGGGAGACTCAGTAGCTAGTGCTACAGGTAGTGTCTAGTGACTGCCATGAAGGCAGAGTGGCCAGCTTCTATTGAATGCCCAAGTATGAAGATACTATTTTTCTGACACGAAACTTTATGAAGATAATAAAATTCCTGAATCCCCTAGCCTTCAGATACACAGAGCTGGTGCCTGTGAGGATGGGCACGGGAGAGTACCAAGCAGTATTCCTGAGGCAATACAAATGAACTGAACCGGGTCAAGCTAAGGGCTCTGGATTACCTCTTTCCTTTGCAATGTGGCATTAGCATAGGTCTGCAGAAACCCCTATGAGGGAAACAATGAAACTGGGGGGTGGAGGTGGGCTAGATATGCTAAAGTGCTACAGGAGAGAGTTTCTGTACCAGAAAAGGCCTCATTGTAGGTGAAAAACTTTAAACCACTTCTAAAATGGTTTGCACTTTAGCTTTATGAAATATTTTAGATAAGATGTCTAGTTTGATGCTAAGAAGCTATAGTCACTGAGACCTTTCCTTTCATCATCAACCCCATTTGTTTACCCCATTCAGTTATTTTGTTTTTCAATTTCCAATCATATCATTTCCAACTCTATCTGGCTGGCCTGGCAGTTTTACCGAGCCATCAGCCCAGATGACCATGTGGATATGGCAGATCAGCTAGGGAGAGTGTCAAGATGACCATGCACAGGGAGGACAGAGCTATGTCCAGTCTCCTGTTGGGCCCAGTAGTACCTGCTCGCTGAACTGGCCTGCCCCAGCCACAATCAGCACGATGATGTTGCCAACAGCCACAGTCAACAGCCATCCTGCCTGAAGCACTGACTTCATATTGGATGGAGCCTACAGATACAAAACATGGTTAATTTGAATCTTAACCTCAGAGCAGGAGAACACAACATGCTGATTTGTTGACCTAAGTAGCCAACTCTTAAAATGTCTAGTAGCAGCCAGGATGGTTTAAATGCACAAAGGTTACTCAGGAAATCCCCATTCCCAAATAATCATGATGTTGGAACATACAAAAACCTCTTGCTAGCTTTTGAACCTTTTCACCTGAAAAATGATTGCCTTCATGAAACAGACAAATCTATATAGATTTGATCAGAAGAGATATCAAGCAAAGCCACCCTCCTACAATGTTTTCTTCCCTTTAAGTAGAGACTGATCTCTGGTCTGGATGCCCACTGTTCTGTGAGTTTCCCTGTCTCTTTACCAAAACCTCACTTTTGGTGCCAACTGAAAGGATGGCAGATGGAATCTACCAGTCATTCCTCAGGAGAAAGATACAGCAGTCAGCAGTCATAAAGACCGGCAGCCTTGGAAACCCTGCTGTGTCCTAGGGAGTCACTACGGGTCGGAATCAGCTCTGGGGCAGTGGGATGTTACATGGTCATCTCATGTACTGATGGCAAACTCATTGCAGAAAGGGTTTGGTTACATTTACCGTGGTCACAACAAATGTGGACCTCCTAGGTGATTTGACTATAACTGTAACCATGACGATGACTGTAGTTTTGAAAGTTAAAAAAAAAAATCACAAATTAAGCTTTAATTCAAGTATCAGCAAAATTTCCTCACTAGTTGCATATACTTAAAAACAATGTTTTCCTAAACCTGATTTTTTTTTTTTTTAAACCAAGCTGTTTATAAGGCATTTATTGGGAGCTACCAAAAGCAAAAGAGAAAGCGAATGAGCCCCCAAACATACTAGTTGATACCTTTTGGTTGTTTCAGAATCTAGACTTTACTGACTCTTACAGTCTGAGATCTTGTTGTTGTGAAGTGCCGTCGGGTTGCTTCCAACTCATAGTGACCCTGTATAGGGTTTCTGAGGAGTGGCTGGGGAACTTGAACCACCGACCCTGCAGTTCAAACTGACCTTGCAGTCCAGTGCATTAACCCGCAGCGCCACACCAGGCCTCCTGATTAGTAGTCACTAACACAGTTTTTCTGCTTAGGACTCTTAAACTTCGAAAGCATGGCTGTGTGAATACACATACATATATACGTATACACTTACGCAGCTAAACAGAATACGATTTTTATTTTATAACAATACTGTTATTCGTTCTAGACCTGTTAACAGTTATGAACATATGGCTCTGCTGGATTTAAATTAACCACCAGTAGCAATTTTCAATGGCAGCTAATAGTAGCCGCAGCATTTTGTAAAGGCAAGAATGATACTGACAAGGTCTGGCAACTGGGTTCCAACTCACAGAGACACCATGTGCAACAGAATGAAACCCCGCCTGGTTCCGTACCATCTTCCCAATCTGTGCCAATTACTGCTGCCCCTGTGTTAGCCTATCTCGTTGGGGGTCTTCCTGTTTTCTGCTGACCCTCTGTATTACCAACAATGAGGTCCTTCTTCAGGGACTGGTCCCTCCTGATCACACGTCCAAAGGGCATGAGACAAAGTCTCACCATTCTTGTTTCTAAGAAGCATTCTGGTTTTACTTCTCTAACACAGATTTGTTCATTTGTAGATGTTATTGTTGTGAAGTGCCGTCGAGTCAGTTCCGACCCATAGCGACCCTGTATAGGGTTTCCGAGGAGCAGCTGGTGAGCTTGAACCACCAACTTTGCAGTTCAAACGGCTTTGCAGTCTGGCGCATTAACCCACAGCGCCACATCAGGACTCTTTTGTAGATGTAGGGTAGTAAAAATAAAATAATAGTCATAAATAACACACCTGAGAGTAGGAGAACTCCAGTCCAGTGACAGAGAAGACCACTTCCCCACATGTGAGAAGGAAGTACTGGGGAATCTGCAGTGCCATGCTAACTGTATTGGGTGAAATATCTAAAAACTCCTCCTTGTGGGGGCAGCCATCCGTCTAAAACAATAAGACAAAAAGGGGGAAAAAAGAAATGTAAAAATTTAGATTGCTTTTATAATAAAAAGTTGTACAAATTAAGATGTATTAAGTACACTTTTTACATATAGATACCCAGTGCTGCCTTTATACTTCTGAGGGCATAGCCTTGGTATGAGTTGAAAATATTCATTATTATTTTCTTCTGAAATTACAGTAGATTAAAAGTCAGGTTTGTTGAAACAATTGCCATCTCTTTGAACTCAAAGATCCTAAAGTCCTGGGTAATAAAGAAGCATCAGATTTACAAACTTTTAAAGCAAGTCCTGGTGTGGCACTGTATGATAAGGACTGGACTTCGAACCACAAGGTCGGTGGTTCAAATCCACTAGATGCTTCTCAGAAACCCTAACACGGTCGCTATGAGTTAGAACCGACTTGATGGCAATTACTCAACAACAAGAACAGAATAAGTCAGTCTAGTTAATTTCATTCTACTGGTTAACTTAAGTCAAGGCTATGAGGTGGCTTTAAAAAGTTTGTGGAAAAATTCCACTATCTTTTAGCTCCATTTTCCCATAGGCATTTTAAAGCTCTTTTATAAGTTGAAGAATTAGTGGTGAATTGAATGAATTCTAAGCCCATTTAAAGGACATATTCTAATATTACCCTGATGAAATCATTAGTATAATCTAAGCATTTGTGAGGACAAATAGCAATAACATTTGAGTAGAACCTTTGATAGAGCAATTGGTGCTAATAATAAAAATGCAATGAGTTAAGTAACCTGTCTAACGATTACGTAGGTGTATGCACTACCAAATCCAAGGTTGGATGACTGTAATTCACTGTCACATGCTGGTGGAATCACTGTTGAGTTTATTTTGATGCTTTTTCTATTAAAAGAAAGAAAAATATAGGTTAACATTCTTGGTATTAAAAACTTGGATGTATTGTTTAAAGAAAGACTTGAAATCCTTGAACTTTGGAGCAGAGTGTCCACTATAGGTACTCACATGCCAGAAGGGAAAAACTGATATTCGCTGACACGGTGACTCATGAGATTTTCATAAACTTTCCCGTCCATATCTATGGCGATGTTCTCACTGTATATATTGACAAATCTGAAAGAGAAACCATTTGTTTTATAACTGAACTGAACAATGATCTAGCTCACACTATATATATGCTTCAAATTCGGCTGTGTTCTCATTGGTGTCAGTGGTGGTGGTGGTGTGCCGTGGAGTTGGTTCCGACTTAAAATGAGTTTTTTTCCTCTTGATTTAAGAGGAAATTAAAGTGGTTTGGAGCAAAGTTATACCCTATGTTGCTCTTGCTCATCGTTCACAAGAACACAGCGGAAAGAATTTATTAAGAGCATTTATAATTTATAAACAGCATTTATATATGTCAGGTGCTGTTCAGAATTTCTTATAAAGAGTTCCATATTTTGGAATATTAGGTGGGGATTGAAACAGAGATGAGTCGTCCTTTCTCCTTCAAGGAGGCAGCAACATCTTTGAGTTTCGTGCTTTACAAGATTTAAAACTAAAGTTGTGAGGGACCAAAAGAAGAGGTTGGCTCATACCTAAAAAGACAGCCCACACCAGAGGAAGTGAGAACAGGGAGGGAAGACTGTGGATTTCCTTCACCTCCAGGATCCTGAGATGGGGAGGGACACCAAAGATTTGTGAGGAAGAAGTAGCTCAGTCCAGCAGTAGGTGATAATTTTGAGGAGTTTCTCTAACAAGGTGGAGACCTGTGTATGCCTGTAGATTCTAGAGAAACAGTAGCCAGCAACCTTTTCTGCTGGAATGCAGTTCAGGATGAAACATCCAACAAGACTGGATGTCAGGTTCCAAGATTTTCAGGCTCTGTAAAGTTCCCTGTGACTATGTTTTACATGAAACCAATTGGGCTACGTGCCTTCAAAGGACTATACAAGTGATGAACACTGTGGACAGATTATTACAGATTCTTCCTGAAATGTTTCAGGCTATAGAAGACCTTAAGACTCTTGTACTACCCTGGGAAGGTGGAAGGCGTTTCTTGAAAGAAATCCAGGTGATGTCCCCCACCAAACAGGTGAATGAGGACTTGCAGCACATTTTCCAGCGGAGAAACTGAGAAGTAATAATACTGTATGCCAAACTGCAAGATTCCTCCCCCCCCCCTCCCGCCACTTGAAGTACAGTGCTGTCTGTGATAGGATAATATCCAATTGCCTACAAGGAAGACCAGTTAATACCAATATTATTCAAATTTACATACCAACAAAGCTAGTGGTTTCTACAAAATTCTTTCGTCTGAAATTGATCAGGCATGTAATCAAGATGCATTGATAATTACTGGTGATTGGAATGTAAAAGTTGGAAACAAAGAGGAAGGATCAATAGTTGGAAAATATAGCCTTGGTGATAGAAATGCTACTAAAGTGCATATGATAGAATTTTGCAGGACTTATATACAAGGAGACTATACACATGGACCTTGCTAGGTAGACTACACAGGAATCAAACTGACTACCTCTATGGGAAGAGATGGTGGAGAAGCTCTGTATCATCAACCAAAACAAAGCCAGGGCAGACTGTGGAACAGACCTTAAATTGGCCCTATACAAATTCAGGCTGATGCTGAAGAAATTAAAACAAGGTCACTAGAGCCAAAACATGACTTTGAATATATACCACCTGAATTTAGAGACCATCTCAAGAAGAGATTTGATGCTTTAGACACTAATGACCAAAGACCAGAAGAGGTGTGGGATAATGTCAAGATTATCAACCAGCAAGGAAGCAAAAGTTAACTAAGAAGACAAGAAAGAAAAGATGAAAAGAAAAGAAAGAACAAACCAAAACGGCTGTCAGAAGAGACTCTGAAACTTGCTCTGAGTATAGAGAAACTAGAGAAAATGGAAGAAACGAGGAAGTCAAAGAGCTGAACTGAAAATTTCAAAGGGCAGCTTGGGAAGACAAAGTCAAGTGCAGATAATGAAATGTGCAAAGACCTGGAGTTAAAAAACCAAAAGGGAAGAACACACTCAGCATTTCTCAAGCTGAAAGAACTGAAGAAAAACTTCAAGCCTCAACTTGCATAATTGAAAGATTCTAGGGACAAAATATTGAATGATGCAGAAAGCAGAAGGAATACACCGAGTTACCATACCAAAAAGAAATGGTCGATGTTCGACCATTTCAAGAAGTAGCATCTGACCAAAAACTGATGATATTTAAGGAAGAAGTCCAAGTTGCACTGAAGGTATTGTTGCAAAACAAGGGTCCGAAACTTTAGGAATGAAAATGGAAATCTTTCAACAAACTGATGTAGCACTGGAGGCACTCACTCATCTATGCCAAGAAATGTACAAGACAGCTCCCTGGTGAAGTGATTGGAAGAGATCCATATTTGTGCCCATTTTAAAGAGAGGTGACCCAGCAGAATGCAGAAGTCATCAAACAACATCATCAATGTCACATGCAGAGAGCGACACATATTCAAAGTGGTGTGTCCAGCTGGCATCTTGGGCCAGGTGCTACTGCTTCCTCCAGTCCCTTTCTGACTGGTAAGCCTGGTCTTTTTAAAAAAATAATTTTGAGTTTTGTTCTATATTGTCTCCTAGTCTATCTGGGATCGTTTAACGAGATCCCTTTCAGAGCAGTTGGTAGTGGTAGCTGGGGACCCTCTAGTTCTTCTGGTCTCAGGATCATGGAGACCAATGCTCACATGTTCCATTAGTCATGGAGACCGATGCTCACATGTTCCATTAGTCATGGAGACCGATGCTCACATGTTCCATTAGTCATGGAGACCGATGCTTACATGTTCCATTAGTTGCACCTTAGATGACCTCTCATGAGCTTTTCGATCCCCATCTCTACTCATCAAAGTAGAATGTAGACCATTGTCTTTGTAGACTAAGTTAGGCCAATTGACCATGGTGTCCCCCCAGACTATGGTCCTGAGACCCAGGACCAGCAACTAGTTGGAATTTGGTAATGTCCAAGAAGTTTTCATTATTTCGTCCCCTGTAGGCTCCACTACTATATACACAGGTGTGCCTGAAGTGATGGTAAATACCCACATACAAAATCCTTGGTCAAACCCTTATATATTTGTGGGTATAGTCCACTCTCCCTCCTATACTCATTCAGCCTGTGTATCTGTCCATGTATCTGCCTGTGGAATACTGTTGTTGCAGACTGGTATATGTAACAGTATTTACCTCTATCCCCTTTAATCCTTGCATTCCTTTCTGTGTCTTCTCTCTTCATCATTTTCTGCCAACCTCCCTCATCCTGGTGTGGCGCTGTGGGTTAATGCGCCAGCCTGTAAAGCTGTTTGAACTGCAAGGTTAGTGGTTCAAGCTCACCAGCTGCCCTTCAGAAACCCTATACAGGGTCGCTATGGGTTGGAATCAACTTGACGGCACTTCACAACTCTTTACTTGTGTTATTTTCTTACTGAATTTTGAGGGTACTTTATGTATTCTGGATAGAAGTTCTTTGTCAAATCTGTGATTTATAAATATTTCTTCCCAGTTTTCAACTTATCTTATTACTTAATAATGATTTACACAGAAAAACATTTTCAGTTTGATGAAGTCTAATTTATCCATTTTTTCTTTTATTGGTTGTGCTCTTTGTATCATAGCTAAGAAGCCAAGGTCACAGAGATTTTTTAGTATTTTCTTACGCACTTTTTGTTTTACATTTTTCCTATTGATCTATGACCTATCAAAAAGCTTGAAAAGGAATAAGTCTATTATCATTCCATTAATGAACTTTTTGGAAAGCCCATGTACAATAAATTTTGAGATCATTTAATTTTTGTCTAAGACACATAAAAATGTTTCTATAAAATGTGAGGTTTCAGCAAAGTTTGTTAGTATTCTTATTTTTCATTCTGTTCTAGTTGATAAAACAGAATAACATTGTTTACAAAATCATCAATATAGTCTTGGCTCTTAAGTACAAATTTACTTTTCATTTCTCAGTCTGACCTTTCACCAGCATTTGCTATTATTAGTTGATACTGTGAGAAAAGTATGTATTTTTTAGGTTCCTTTGAACTTCTTCCTTTTTTTTTAATCGTCCTCTTTCCATTTTGGATTTCTAGTTTGAATTTCAGTCTCTATTTACTCTTTAAATAGTTTTGTTCCTCACATTTTTGTCTTGTTGTTTTTGTTAAGTGCTGTCGAGTTGATTCCGACCCATAGCAAGCCTGTATAGGGTTTCCAAGGAACATCTGGTGAGCTTGAACCACCAACCTTGCAGTTCAAATGAATTTACAGTCTGATGCATTAGCCTACTGTGCCACACCAGGACTCCTATTTTTGTCTTGAGCCATCTTATTTCCATTTCAGACTCATCTTCTTGCCAACCAAGTAACATATAACATTTATATATATATATATATATAATATATATATATATATAAAT